CAGCAGTTTGAATACATCATTCCAGTCTGTTCTGGCCTACAAAGTTCCAGTTGAAAAATCCCCTAACAGTTAAAAATAGTTTCAAACAGCAAGGGAGGGAAACCATAAGAAACTCTTAAATATAGAGAACAAACTGAGGGTTGATATCGGGGGGATGGGGGACAGAGGATGGAAAAAACAGGTGATGGGCATTGAAGAGGGCTCTTGTTGGGATGAACACTGGGTGCTGTATATAAATGAAGAATCACAGGAATCTACCCCCAAAACCAAGAGCACACTGTATATACACTGTATGTTAGCCAACTTAACAATAAATTATATATATATATATATATACACACGCACACACATATATATAAAATGTATCTAAGTATGTATACACACAGGTTTAAAAGAAAAATCTAATACCTTATGGGGTTTCCCTTATATGTAACTATCTTCTTTTCTCTTGCTGCTTTTTTTCTTTCCAAGATTTTATTTAAATTCAAGTTAGTTAACATATAATGTAGTATTGGTTTCAGAAAGTAGAATTTAGTTATTTCTCACTTATATATAACAGCCAGTGCTTATCACAAGTGCCCTCCTTAATGCCCCTCACCCATTTAGCCCATTCCCTCACTTACCTCCTCTCCAGCAACCTTCAGTTCATTTTCTATAGTTACAAGTCTCTAATGGTTTGCCTCCCTATTTTTATCTTATTTTATTTTTCCTTCCCTTCTACTCTGTTCATCTGTTTATTGAATTCCACGAGAGAAATCACATGGTATTTGTCTTTCTCTGACTGACTTATTTCACTTAGCATAATGCATTCTAGTTCTATCATTGCAAATGGCACGATTTCGTTCCCTTTGATCACCAAGTAATATTCCACTGAATATATATACCACATCTTCTTTATCCATTCGTCAGTCGATGGACATTTGGGCTCTTTCCATACTTTGGCTACTGTTGATAGCGGTGCTATAAACACTGGAGTGCATGTGCCCCTTCCCATCAGTATTTTCGTATCCTTTGGATTAATACCTAGCAGTGCAATTGCTGGGTCACAGGGTCATTCTATCTTTAACTTTCTGAGGAACCCCCACGCTATTTTCCAGAGTGGATGCACCAGTTTGCATTCCCACCAACAGTACAAGAGATTTCCCCTTCCTCTGCATCCTCACCAACATCTGTCATTTAATGAGTTGCTACCTTTAGCCATTCTGACTGGTGTGAGGTGGTATCTCACTGTGGTTTTGATTTGTATTTCCCTGACTATGAGTGATGTTGAACATCTCTGTTCACGTTTCTATTAACCATCTGGATGTCTTCTTTGGAAACATGTCTATTCATGTCTTCTGCCCATTTCTTAACTGGATTATTTGTTTTTTGGGTGTTGAGTTTGGTAAGTTCTTTATAGATTTTGGATCCTAGCCCTTTATTCGATATGCCATTTGCAAATATCTTCTCCCATTCCATAGGAAGCCTCTTAGTTTTGCTGATTGTTTCCTTCGCTGTGCAGAAGTGACCTTGAAGAGATCCCAATAGTTCATTTTTGCTTTTGTCTCCCTTGCCTCTGGAGACATGTCTAGTAAGAAGTTGCTCTGACAGAGGTCAAAGATGTTGCTGCCTATGTTCTCCTCTAGGATTTTGATGGTTTCTTGTCTCACATTTAGTTCATCATTTTGAATTTATTTTTGTGTATGGTGTAAGAAAGTGGTTAACTTTCATTCTTCTGCATGTCACTGTCCAGCTTTCCCAACATCATTTGTTAACAAGACTTTTTCCATCGGATGTTCTTTTTTGCTTTATCAAAAATGAGTTGACCATACAGTCAGGGGCCATTTATGGGTTCTTTGTTCTGTTCCATTGATTTGTATGTCTGTTTTTTGTGCAAGTACCATACTGTCTTGATGATTATAACTTTGTAATACAGCTTAAAGTCTGGAATGGTGATGTCTCCTGCTTTACTTTTCTTTTTCAACATTACCTTGGCTATTTGGGGGTCTTTTCTGGTTCTATACAAATTTGAGAATTGTTTGTTCTAGCGCTGTGAACAATGCTGGTATTATTTTGATTGCGATTGCGCTGAATGTGCAGACTGTTTTGGATAGTAAAGACATTTTAACAATATTTGTTCTTCTAATGCATGGGCATGGAATGTTTTTCCATTTCTTTGTATCTTCTTCAGTTTGTTTTGTAAGTGTTCTACAGTTTGGGGAGTATAGATCTTTTATCTCTTTGTTAGCTTTATTTCTAGCTATCTTACAGGTTTTGGTGCAGTTGTAAATGGGGTTGAATCCTTGATTTCTCTTTCTGCCTCTTCATCATTGGTGTATAAAAATGCAACAGATTTCTGCACACTGATTTTATATGTTACAATTCTACAGAATTAGTGTATCAGTTCTAGCAATTTTATGGTGGAGTCTTTCAGGTTTTGCACATAAAGTATCATGTCATCTGTGAAGAACAAAAGTTTGACTTTTTCCTTGCCTGATTTGTGATCTAGTATGTGATCTAATCTGAATAATGTCGCATGTGCACTGGAAAAGAGGTGTATCCTGCTACTTTAGGATGGAATGTTCTGGATGTATCTGTTAGGTCCATCTGGTCCAGTATGTCATTCAGCATCATTATTTTCTTATTGATTTTCTGTTTAGATGATCTGTGTGTTGATGTAAATGAGGTACTAAAGTCCCCTATGATTATTGTATTATCAATGAGTTTGTTTGTAATTATTTTATACATTTGGGTATTCCCATGTTCAGTGTTTAAGTATTTAGAATTTTTTATTTTCTTTTTGGATTGTCCCCTTTATTATGATACAGTGCCCTTCTTCATCTCTTGTTAGTCTTTGGTTTAGTTTATTTTGTTATATAGAAGTAGTTTATTTTGTTATATAGAAGTACTGCTACTCTGGCTTTAAGTCCATGTGTATGATCAATGTTTCTCCATCCCCTCACTTTCAATCTGCAGGTGTCTTTATGTCTAAAATGAGTCTCTTACATAGCAGCATATAAATGGGCCTTGTTTTGTTATCCATTCTGTCATTCTATGCCTTTTGAGTAGAACATTTAGTCCACTTACATTCAGAGTAAATATTGATAGATTCGTATATATTGCCATTTTATCACTAGTTTTGTCATTGTTTCTGGGGATTTTTCTCTCTTTCTTGTCTTTGTCACTTTTGGTACTTCCTTTTCACTCAAAGAGTCTCCTTTAATATTTCTTGCAGGGCTGGTTTAGTGGTCACGAATACCTTTAGTTTTTGTTTGTTTGGCAAACTCTCTCTCTCCTCCTATTCTGAATGGTAGCCTTGCTTGATAGAGTATTCATGGCTGCAGATTTTTCCCATTCAGCACACTGAACATATCATACCACCCCCTCTCTGACTTGCCTCGTTTCTATTGACAGATCTGTAGCTGGCCTTATGGGTCTTCCCTTCTAAGTTAGGGACTTCTTTGGTCTTGCTGCTTTTAAGTTTTTTTCTTTATCACTTTGTTTTACAAATTTAATTACAGTATGTCTTGGTGTTGGTCTGCCTTTGTTGATTTTGACAGGAGTTCTCTGTGCCTCCTGGATCTGGATGTCTGATTACTTCCCCAGATCAGGGAAGTTTTCAGCTATTATTTCCTCAAATAAATTTTCTACCCTCTTTTCTATCTTCTGGGACTCCTATAATATGAATGTTATGTTTGATGGAATTACTGAGTTCCCTAAGTCTATTCTAATGTTCCATAATTCTTCTCTCTTTTGTTCAGCTTCATCATTTTCCAGTATTTTATCTTCTAAATTACTTATTTACTCCTCTGTTTCTTTCATCCTATTTTATCACATCAAGCCTGTTTTGAATTTTGGTTACTGCCTTTTCATTTTTGACTGATTGTATTTTAATTCTTTTGTCTCTGTAGTAAGGGCCTACCTGAAGTCTTCCATTCTTTTTTCAAACCCAGCAAGTATAATTATGATTGTGGCTTTAAATTTTCCATCAGGCACATTACTTATATCTGTTTCACTTAGATCTCTGAGCTTATCTTGTTCTTTCATTTGGGATGAATTCATCTGTATTGTCATTTTGTCTAAGTCTCTATCTTCTTCTCTTTGTTAGAAAAGCCCATTATGCTTGTTTTATGCTTCTGAGAATAATAGCTTTTCAAAGAACAGGTCACACAGGGTCCAGGGCCTGGCATTTTGGAAAGTGCCTCTGCTGTGTGCTGAGTGCACTGTGCTGCTGTGTTTCAGCTGCTCTATTCTTCAGGTCACTCATTTGCAGAGGAATGGGGCAAGTTTTAAGTAGGTATACTCTGGTCTGCTTGTTAAATGAGACCTGATACTACTTCCACTAGAACCGAAGCCCTGAAGAACTCTCTGGCTGGGAAACATGGTGTGGGCAGGGGTTTCTGCTGGTCTTCTGGGGAAAGGTCCTGCAGCACTGGGACTGAGGCAAACTTAACTGAGAAGGGCAGTTCACCAACAGAGTAGGGGTGTGGGACCTGATGTAAGCAGATTAGGTATCCAGTGTTGGCACTGCGCTGCTGAAAGAGGCTGCCTCAGTATTTATGCTGAGTGGCAGCTGAGGGAAACAGACCTAGCCAGCTCTTTTGTCCCAGAAGAGACATCTCTGTGAAAGCTACCTCTCAGGGATGTTCTCTAAGAAGAGCAAATAATATCCCTTTGTGTGCCCCAGGCACTCTTCAGATCACTCTTTCCATACCATCTGCCCCCAGGGTGTTTGCCTGACTCTTCTCTAGGAGCAGGGCAGCACCCCCAGGGCTCTATCCCAGCCAAGCCATAGATCTTTAAAACTGCAGTCTGTACACCCCACTAATTGCAACAACTCACAAAAAGCAGTCCCTCTCATTTTCCCAGGCAAAGGATTTGAGGAAATGATCTCCTTGTGCATTTCCCAGTGTGCTCCTCTCTTTATTTCACCTTTCTCCACGACCAGGGCACCCTCCCCTCTACAAAATCTGCTATTTGTTTCTCCCCAAAAATCATATCTCCGCACTTCCTACCTTCTTCAATGTGGTTTCTTCTCTCCCTTTAGTTGTAGAGTTAGTCCTGTCAGTCTTCAAGTTGATTTCTGGGATATTGAGAATGATTTGATAGTTATCTAGTTGTGTTTGACGGACAAGATAAGCCTAGGGTCTTCCTACTATGCCATCATCTTAGCTCCCTTTATCAACAATATACTTAAAAAAAGGTCATTTAGGGGCACCCAGGTGGCTCCATCAGTTAAGCATCTGACTCTTGATTTCAGCTCAGGTCATGATTGTATAGTTTGTGAGTTCAAGCCCCACATAAGGATCTGCATGGATAACTCAGAGACTGCTTGGGATTCTCTCTCTCCCTCTGTCTCTGCCCCTCCGCTGCTTGCTTGCTTGCTCTCTCTTTCAAAATAAATAAAATAAACATTTAATAATTAAATAATAAATGAAAAGATCATTTACCACAATCAAATGGGATTTATTCTGGGTATGCAAGGATGGTTCACTATTCACAAATCAATCAATATGATATACCAAATGAACAAAACTAAGGATAAAAATCATGCAGTCATCTCAATACATTCAGAAAAAGAATCTGACAAGACCCAACATCCATTCATGATAAAAACTCTCAACAAAGTGGAGTTAAAGGGAACATACCTCAAAATAATTAAAGGCCATATATGAAATACTCAGGGCTAACATCAAACCCAGTGGTGAAAATCATTAAGCTTCTCCTCTAAGGTCAAGAAAAAGACAATAATGGCCACTCTTGTCGCCATTACTCAACACAGCACTCCAAGTACTAGCCACAATAACCAGACAGAAAAGAGAAAGAAAAAGAAAGAAAAGAAAGGAAAGGAAAGGAAAAAGAAAGAAAGAAAATACTTCCATACTGGTAAAGAAGAAGTAAAACTGTCACTATTTACAGATAATATGACACTAAACATAGAAAATCCTAAAGACCCCATCAAAGAACTGCTTGAAATTTTTTAAAAAAATGATTTCAGTAAAGTTACAGGATACAAAATTAATAGCCAGAAATTGGCAGCATTTCTATCCAGTAATAATGAAGTATCAGAAAGAGAAATTGAGAAAAACACACCACTTAAAATAACAACACAAGGAATCAAATACCTAAGAATAAACGGATTGGAAGAATGAATATTGTTAAAATGCCCACATTATCCAAAGCAATCTACAGATTCAGTGCAATCACTATCAAAATACCAACTGCATTTGTTCTAGAGAACTAGAACAAATAATCCTAAAACTTGTATGGAACTACTGAAGACCCCAAATAACCAAAGAAATCTTGAGTAAGAAAAGCAAAGCTGGAGGTATCACAACTCCAGATTTCAAGATATGTTACAAAGATGTAGTAATTAAAACCCTATGGTACTGTCACAAAAACAGATACATAGAACAATGGAACAGAATAGAAAACAGAGACATAAACCCAAAATTAAATGGTCAATTAATCTATGACAAAGGAAACAAGAGTATAAAGACATATATAAAATATAAAGCAAGAGACTGGGAAAAAGACAGTCTCTTCAGCAAATGGTATAGGGAAACAAACAGCTACATGCAAAAGAATTAAACTGGACCCTGTTAACACCATACACAAAAATAAACTGAAAATAGATTAAAGACCTAAATGTGAGACCTGAAACCATAAAAATCCTAGAAGAGAACAAGAGGGAAAATTTTTGACATTGGCCATAGGAACATTTTTCTAGATATGTCTCCTATGGCAAGGGAAACAAAAGCAAAATTAAACCACTGGGACTACATCTGGAGGAAAAGGTTCTACACAGCAAAGAAAATTATCAACAAAACAGAAAGGCAACCTACTGAACTGGAGAATATATTTACAAATGATGTATCCGATAAGGAGTTAATATCCAAACTACATAAAGAAACTATACAACTGCACATAAAATAACCAAATAATCTGATTTTCAAATGGGTAGAGGACCTGAAAAGACATTTTTCTAAGACACTGATAGCCAACAGACACATGAAAAGCTGATCAACATTACTAATTATGAAGGAAACACAAATCAAAACACACAATGAAATATCACCTTACACCTTTTAGAATAACCAAAAACAAAATGGAAATAAATAAAAGTGTTAGCAAGGATGTGGAGAAAAAGGAATCCTTGTGTGCTATTGGTGAAAATGTAAACTGGTACAGTCAACATGAAAAACAGTATAGAGGCTTCCTCCCAAAATTAAAAATAGAAATCTCGTAAGATCTAGGAATCCACTATTGGGTATTTACACAAAGAAAACAAAAACACATATTTGAAAAGATATATGTATGTTTATTGCAGTGTTATTTATAATAGTCAAGAAGGGAAGAGACCTAAATGTCCATCAATAGACAAATGGATAAGGAAGATGTGGTGTAAACAGACACACACAAACACACACACAACGGAATATTACACACCATAAAAAAGGATGAGATTGTGTCATTTGAGACAACATGGATGGACCTAGGGGTTATTATGCTAAGTGAAAT